GCTCTGAGAAGTCATGTGACCTGAGCAAATCCTCTCTGTGCTTCCTACTTGCTCCTGGTGACACCGAGCCCCCATGTTTGTGTTCCTCACAGGGATGTTGAAAATACAATCTCCGTGGACCGGCCAGTGGTGAGTGTTTTAACTCTTAGATACGAGAAGGTCCAGGGGACAGCTGGGCGGTCGAGGGGAGAGGGGATATCGGCAGAGGGGGATGGGAGTCTGGGGTGTGTGCAGCGATTACCCCATCTTACTGCAACTTCTGTTTGGCGTGACCAGAAAGAATGGATGGACCTTGTGGTCCCGGGCCTATTTCGTCAGTCCAGGGGCTGGGAAGTACGGAAGAGAGTTTGAACCATTAAAGGGGGGGAGGGGATCAAAGCCACAGGAAGCGATAAGAGCAGCAGCTGATACTGGATTATGAGGCACAAGCTCACATAGAGAAAAAAAGGACACAGCTCTGCAGTCAGCATCAAAACCTGGGTCCAGTACCTGGACAATCACATAAACCCCCCAAGTCCATTTCCTGCTCTTTAAAATGGGTGCCTGACCAGGCTTTTGTCAGGTTTGAATCAACGAGATCATGTCTGTGAGGTGTCTGGCGCAGCCCGGGCCTCAAATGGTGGTTGTTACTCGTGTGTTATCTACTTCACCAGGTACTTCTCACGTGTGTCCTCTCGCTTGGTCCTCGCAAGGTTTCTGAGACGTAGTAAGATTATTACCCCTGGTTTTCAAGTAAGGCAGCGGAGGTTCAGTGAAGTTAAATGACTCCCTGGAATTCACAGAGCCCTTAAGCTAAGCAAGGCTCGCAGCCGGGTTCTCTGAACGCGCTCTCCCCCCAACGCCATGCTGAGACCTGTCCGGGGTGGGAGGCCAGAGTTAGCACTGAGCTGGTGTATATTGGGGTCCCCTTGTGTTGAGGAGTCTGTGGCTGCCTTGGGGCTTTGGGTCCTGGTTAGTAAGTAGTCCCTTGTGCTCTGTGGGTATGTCCTGGGCCAATTAGGAGACAGCAAAAGCCCCACTGAACTGTCAGCTGGGGCATGACATTCGTGGTTCTAATCCTGACCCTGTCCCGGGGCCAGATCTCCAAGTGCCTGCTGGATGATCGCAGACGTTGTTTTTAGTATTCAGTGCACTTGGCGCTATTCTTATCCTCTGGACGTTGGTCATCATGTACAGTGTTTATCAGCAGTTGCAAACCCGAAAGCTCATGGGAGCTGCATGTTACCTAACTGAGCAGAGCAAGCAGGTGTAGGATTTTGGTGCCCTGCAGTGGCCTGCACTCGTAGCTGACACCTGGCTCCTGTGTTGGAGGGCTGACTGGCATGGTGGCAATGGTGGCGTCAGGGAGGGTACAGAGCAGCGGCTCTCCCAGATGGTGGCCACAGGGGGCTCAGGTCCCTGCAGGCTGCCTGACCTAATTTTACAAAAGAAGCCCCAGACCTGGGTTTCCATCAAGTCTCCCATGTTAAGTATTTGCCTAAAAATAAACAAACAAAACAACAACAACAAAAAACCCCGAACTCTATAAATCAAACAAAATTCATTTTGGGGCCAGTTTGGATTAGCTACTTTTTTGGTGTTTTAGTCATCACCTTCGTTAAAAAATACATTAGGTAGAAGCTAATTTCCTTAGCAGCGTCCAATAACAGAGGGAGCTATGGAAATGAAGCCGCAGCGGCTGCCAGTCTCGGGGCTGGAGAAGCCTCCTCTCCCTTCGCCCTCCAGGCCCCTTTGGGCTCCCTGTGACCTGGATCTCTAGACCCCAGAACCCACCCAAAGTGCAGAGCCAGGTCACAGGAAGCCAAGGGCCAGAGGATTCTCTGGAAACTTGCTTTTCACCTAATCTGCATGTACTGTTTTCTTTCCTTGTGCAGAAAAAGAAAAAACCCAAGGTGGGTGTCACAGGGTGAGTGGGTCGGCAGCACGGAGTTTTTGTGCACGTGTGTGTGTGTGTGTGTGTGTGTGCGCGCGTACCAGCCTCACCTCTTCCCCTGCTGCCCCACCTCCTCCTTCCCCATTGCAGCTCTGGGTGCAGCACAGTGAGAGCTAACACCTGCTGAGTGAAGGCTGTGGACCAGGCACGCTCCCAGGTGCTTTCTGTGGATAAACTCAGTCCTGAACCACCCTATGAGAGTGGTGCTATCATTATCCCCCTTTTCAGAGGAAGAAGCGGTACAGACAGACAGACTGACTGACTTACCCAAGGCCACAGAGCCAGTAAGTGGCAGTCAGCACGTGGAGGCAGGTGCAGAGTCTGCGCTCTGAACCAGCAATGCTATACTGCCTGCCCCTCACATGAGGGAGGCAGTGAAAATGGGCCTGGCCTGGGGGTCTTGCAGAAACCAAAAGCAGCCCCTCGTTCTCAGAAGTGGGCTCAGCAATGCTAAGCACGGCTTGATTCTTCGGGAGAATGGCAACGGGTTCCATTCCTCAGGTACATACAGTGAGATAACGGGAGGGTTCCCATGGGAGTGGGGGTCTTGGATGCCAGCTGCCTGCTCTGTAGACAGGCCAGTTCCTTCCCCCTCCTCTCCTTTTCCTGCCTGCTCCCCACTTCTCCTTTTTTCTCCGCCTTCCGGGAAGGGGTGGGAGAGGGTATCTAGAGGGGCTACGTCACTGCCAGGGCCCTTATTCAGGGGAAGCCGCTTCTAGACAATGGCCTCTCACTCTGAACCTACGGCCCCTCTAAGTCATGGGTCTTGAGAGACTGTACGTGCTGCCTGTGTCCAGAGGGCAAAGGGCAGATGGGGGAGAGCCTCCACCCTCACAGCCCTAGAGGAGCTGCTCAACCTCACAGGCTTACAGGGGGAAGGAATGAGAGCTACCTACCTGGGCCCCTTTCCCTCCTGGGATCTTGGGGCGACACCCTGACTCACCAGGGCCTGCGATGGCCCCTCCTGGGTTTCCTGGTTATAATCACTCTGCTGTAAGGACACCGTTGCTAACGGTGACCGTGGGGCTAAGAGCATCTCAAGGGCCTCAGACCAAAGCTTTCATTCCCCCTGTGACCAGGGACCGTTTCCTCTGTGTGCCTTTGGGACTGAAATTCAAACTCAAACTCCCCCAACCCATCCCTGTTCCATTTATCCCATCACTTCCCCTGGCCTCCAGGGCAGTAGGGCCTCTGATAGAAGTTTGGTTTGACTGCCCAGAGTATCATCCAGAAATGACTGACCTTTGGACATCCTTGAGCAATGGCCACAGGTCATCAGACAATGTTTGGGGCTGGTGTTTATGAGAGCATCTGGAAGGATCCATCCAAGCGGTCCTCCAAGCAATGGTGCTGGGGCAGACCAGAGCTGACATCCATCAGGCACCTGCCGCGCATCAGGCACCGTGCTGGGGGCAAACATAGTTTTTGATCTCAACGGTATCTACAAAGTAGGTGCTGTCACTATTCCTTTCATAGGTGAGGACAAAGATTCAGAGAAGTGAAGCGACTTGCCCAAGGACATGTAACCGATGAGAGGGAAAATGGAACTGGAAATCACATCTGTTTGCCCAAAGCCCATGTGTCTTGCCCTCACCTCTCTTTAGTGCAGGCCCCTTACACACCAACGCCTGTGTCATCCGGATACACACTTGGGCCTGGAGATATGTGCCTGGCATGGCCACACGTCCCCCTCAGACTGACTCCCGTGCTCTGGGATCCCCACACACTTCAGTTGCTTGGGCAAGACCCTTTGCTTAAAAGGCAGAGCAAACCAGGGCCATTGGAGCCCGCCAGGAGCCAAAGCTGGGGGTGGGGTGGGGTGGGGGTGGCTGTGTGCCTAGGTTTGTCCATTCTTGCTGTCCTAGATGAACAGCAGGAAAGGCAGATGGGATGCATAGACCAGTGGGTTCCTGTTCTGCTCCTGTTCGCCCCCTTGCTCTCTGCACTGCAGCCAGGGTCCTACCTCCTAGCCTTCCTCTGCTTCTGCAGGGTGCACAGCACCAGCCAGGACTGACGCAGCATGCAGCTGCTTTTCACCCTTCACCTAACGTCTTCGCTTGCATGAGCATGTCTTGAAAAATATCCCTTATATTTGTGTAGCATCTTAAATGTTCCGCAGCCCACTTTTACATTCAGTATCTCAGGCAGGGGTCCTCAAACTATGGCCCGCGGGCCACATGCAAATACAAATATTGTATTTGTTCCCGTTTTGTTTTTTTACTTCAAAATAACATATGTGCAGTGTGCATAGGAATTTGTTCATAGTTGTTTTTTTTTAAACTATAGTCCGGCCCTCCAACGGTCTGAGGGACAGTGAACTGGCCCCTTGTTTAAAAAGTTTGAGGACCCCTGACAGGTGACCCCCTTAAGAGCCCCATGAGAAGTGTAAGGCAGGATTCATTGTGCATATAATGGATAAGTAAACTGAAGCCTGAGAGGGTATTTCTCCTATGTGATGGCCAGCGCCGTGTTCTAACCTCTCACCCGCTGGCCATGCCACTAATCAGTGTCCTTTTTCAACTTGTCCCCTGCAGACTCCTAGCGGCCCTTGGAGGTGCATTAACTGCCCTGCCGGTGTAGGGGCACCGAGGGAATAGCCTCTGCCCTCTTCATCAAGCAGAGATGCTCTGGTTTGGTTTGGTTTTAGAAGCTCTGTTTTTAATGGCTTTACCTACACTGGGCTTCTGGGGAAATCACAGTACCTGAAAACCACTGCACTAGATCATGTTGCGTTTAGCAGTCTTAGCATTTTCACATGTGCTCACTACCTTGTTTAACCCCCATAACTTTATCATGAGCAGCTAAGGAATCAGGCTAAGGAACTGAGGTCCAGAGAGGCTTGGCATCTTCCCCACGGCTTGTTAGTGGCCGAAATAGAGCTTGAAGTGAGTGAGGTTCAGGAGCTCCTACCTGCTCGTTCCCTCTTCGCTGGACCAGCTGCTCCAGAGGAGGTTGCCCACCTGTCTCCTCAGCCTGTAACCCTGGCTTCCTTCCTGCCCCTCCTCCCTGCCCCCCTCTGCAGCCCATCATCTTCGTTTCGGACAGAGCAAACAGCAACAAGGAACTGAGTGTGGACCAGGAAGCAGAGGAGGGCAAAGACAAAACAGGCCCTGATAAGCCAGAGAAATCCCCACAGGTTCTGAGCATGCGGCATGCATGGGGTGGCCGGCACACACTGGGGTCTTCTATGCTTTTGGGGTGCTCAAGTTGGAGGGGACCAAGGGTGGGGTGTCTCTTTAACATCTGGCGGTTGGATTTATCTCACTGACCTTTTTCTCTCACCAAGTTCTTCTAAAATTTGGGGTGCTGTCTTGGGGGTTGGCAGCCACATCCAGGCAGTCCTAGGCCTGGGAAGGACAGGCTGAGCTCCCTGCTGGGCCCTGTCCAGCAGGACAATGAGGGGAGGGGGGCAGCAAAGCCTGAGACAAAACAGCTCCTGTTTCCTGGTGTCCTCGGGCTCGTAACCAGGGGGTACAGTAGCAGGAAAGGGGCTGACATGAGAAACAGAGTCCTCCAGCGCCATGGGGAGGCTTAGCCTGGAGTGGGGAGAAGTGTCATCTAATGGTTAGTGGAGGTGGGGCTAAGGGACAAAGGCCCATAGACCAATCCAGGGCCACCTCCGCTATCGGGGGGGCCAAGCAACGGAGTGGGGCAGGGGCCCTCTGAGCGCTGGGCCTTGATGACAGAGGCAGCTGGGAGATGTCAGAATGGTCTGGCCCCCTTTGTCCTGCTGGGGCTCAATTGGTTGGGATGGTCAGGCTCACAACAGTGGAGAGGCTCTAGCTGGTGGGGATGGGGAAAGGGACCACAGGGGCTGTCTGCACGTCTGCACGGCTGAGTCTCCTGTCTGGGTGTCTGGGCTGGGAGGTATGGAGTGAAGGGTCGCTGGCACCTAGATGACTCTCACTCCTGCTCACGAGGTTTGACCAGGAAGGCGCATTGCCCTGTACGCAGCTCCTGCTGCCCCTTGGGGCCGCTGTAGGCACTCTGGCTCCTTCAGGCCCAAAGAGACTTTCCTCAGGGTCTGTCCATCTCCCACCCGTGAGCCAGCTTTCCCTTGTGCTTCCACAGCCACGGCCTGGCAACACCGACCAGGAAACTGAAGAGCAGCAGCACTTCCAGAACATTTTCAGGCAAATAGCGGGCGATGTGAGTACCTCCAACTCCAGCTCCCACAGACACTCCTCACACGACCAGTTACTTCACCATCATTCAGTAGAGGTCATTTGGGTGGAAACGGGATATGTGTGGGTGCACAGACATCCACAAGTCAAGTCCTTGAGTTTTGGACAAACACACCCATGGGGTGGCTCAGAGGCCTTTTGGCTGAGCTGCCCACTGCAGTCTTGACAGCCTGGGTGCAATGTCCATCTTCCACAAAAAAGCCCCGCTTCCCTATGGCAATAGCACTGACGGGGACTGTACAGACAGGGGCAGCCGGAATTCATTTTGCAAAGCCTCTGCCCAGGAGCTCTGTTCTCTTGAACGTGACTCCCCTCCCTTCCTGCTCAGGACATGGAGGTCTGTGCAGACGAGCTCAAGAATATCCTGAACTCAGTTGTGAACAAACGTGAGTGGCTCAAGCTGTCTATGCGGGATGATGGGCAGGTGTGTGTGTGTGTGTCATCTGAAAGTAGTTCCTCTTCTCCATACCTCCCAGATAAGGACCTGAAGACACAAGGGTTCACGCTGGAGTCCTGCCGTAGCATGATTGCTCTCATGGATGTATCCTTCCTGCCACCCTTCCCAACCCTCAGGGGGCCAGGGCAACAATGAGGGGTGCCCAGTCAGGCAGAGGGGCCCAAAATCGCACCCAAGGAAAAGCCTTAAGGAGGTCCTGAGTCAGAACCTCCAGCTGCTGGTCTGAAAGGGGCTACTGGAGGAGGTACACGTTGGGAAGGCCATTGGTTGTGACCAGCCCCTGGGCCCTGCTCTTATCTCAGGCTGGGATTCTGCCTGGGCCCTGGCCAAGGAGGCAGGTTCCCTGGGTCATAGACACTACCTTTGATTGGGGAGGTTTGGCAGGGAGGGTTAAGTACAGGACAGGGCATTAATACAGGACAGTGGCTAGCATATCCTGGGCAGAGCCTTCCTATGGGTCTACCTTCCCTGCAGAGCCTTCTAGAAACCCCCTCCCAATCCCAGAGGATTTTGCTATGTGCACCCTGTAGCCCTGACCTTCCTCCAGACAGATGGCTCTGGGAGGCTGAACTTGCAAGAGTTCCATCACCTCTGGAAGAAGATCAAAGCCTGGCAGGTGGGGAGAGAGAACCAAGTGTGGGAGTGAAGGAGGAGATTGAGTCTGGGGTTTAGTGTGAAACCACTGACCTCAAATTTCCTTTTGCCAGAAAATTTTCAAGCGCTACGACACAGACCAATCCGGCACCATCAACAGCTACGAGATGCGAAATGCGGTCAACGATGCAGGTGCTGGGAAAGGGGGGTGGCGGGGCGGCGGTGGCTGGGGATGTGGACTGGAGCTGGTGGAAGCCGGAATGGGAGGCGAGGACTAGGCCACTGGGCACTACTGGAGAAAGGGAGGAGAAAGGGCTTCTCAAGGTCCTTTCCTAAGAGGCAGGGACAATAGAATGCAGGCCTAAGGACTGCCGCTCTACTTCCTCCTCTCAAGTGCTCCCTCCACAGGATTCCACCTCAACAGCCAGCTCTACGACATCATTACCATGAGGTATGCAGACAAATACATGAACATCGACTTTGACAGCTTCATCTGCTGCTTCGTCAGGCTGGAGGGCATGTTCAGTAAGTGGGGGCTACCACCCCGCTCTCCTGTGCCCTTCCCGCCCCCTCCCGCAATGAGAGCTGTGGCTGATCATCCCGTCTACTCTGTCCGGGATGAACAAAGGCGAAGGCCCTCTTTAGGCTCAGAATGGGTTGGCAAACGGAGGGCTACAGGTGACACTCTCCCTGGCAGAACATGGTCCTCTTAAGAGAAGTTACAGTAGTAGAGGGAGAGCGAGCCTGTGGCCTCTGGCCTGTATTCCTTCTTCCACACAGGAGCTTTTAATGCATTTGACAAGGATGGAGACGGCATCATCAAACTCAGCGTTCTAGAGGTAAAGCCTGTAAGCAGTACACTCCCCTTGTACCTTAAAATTCAAGGTGGAGTCCATGAGGCAGACTGGACCAGGGGGCTCTTCACTTCCCAGTGGTGTGGAAGGATGGGGTGGGAGAGGAACAGAAAGGAAAGCACAGTGGGGAATGTACACACCAAAGGGTCCTCATTCCTAAATTGACTTTACGCTGGCAAACATGTACTTCCCAGGAGAGATCTGGGGGAGGATGCTGCTGCTTCCTATAAAATCTTCCCAGGCTGAGCCTTTCCCCTACCCTGTGAGAGCCCGAGGGCTGGACTCTGTTCTTGTTTGCATTCTGATCTTGGGACTTCCTCTTTCAGTGGCTGCAGCTCACCATGTATTCCTGAACCAAGCTGGCCTCAGCCAAGGCCGTGCGCGATCACTCAGGATGTTTCACCCAATATAGCTAGAACCACTTACCTCAGAGGTCGCGGTAGCTGCCTCCAGGCGCCCCAGCAGGCCTCCAGGCGCCTCATCGGTCTTGTTCCTCCTCTACTTCACTACCACTCAGCCTCAGGGCATCTGTCCATCTGTCACGCCCAAACTAACCCTTTAGTTAAGGAACTTTGTCCTTTAACTGGTGGCAAGTGTCTGTCTGCCTCAGCTAGTTGTAGCTCAGCGGAGATTTGCTTGGAACCTGAGCAGCCTCAGCTCTGAAGCAAATGCTCTCCTTAGCGGCAGTGCCCTGGGCTGTTCACAGAAGCCTTAGCCAATGGCAATCAGTACCTCCTGTGCTGGATCCCTCTACCACCCACTGGACAATCACCAAACAAGCACTGGTTCTGTCTGATTATTTCAGGATGGGCCTGCTCTGGAGGAAACTAGCTCAGTGACAGAGAGCTGGATACTGTGGGTTGTGACTCAAGTTTGGCTGCATTCTGAAAAAAAGTAGATCTAAATAAAGGCAGGTTCTATTGTGTTTTGTTTTCTCACATTTAGATATCAGCCATGGGCTGAATAGCTTCCAATCCTACATTCACGTATAGAGAGCCCAAGTTTCATTATACAATGAAAAACACACACATACACAAATAAACCCCGAATCCCACTTTAATCATACCTATTTGTGTTTCTTGGGCATAGAAATCACTCAGATATATGAGGAAATGGAGGGGAATGGCTCTTGGTATATGGAACAAGAATAAATGGGTCACCCATAACTGCAGGGTCACTTATCCTATATAATAAAAGCCTATATGCTAATTGTCCACCCAACCATTTGACCAGTCGCTATGATGCGCACTGACCACCAGGGGGCAGAGGCTCCGACTGGTAGGTTAGCTTGCTGCTGGGGTCCAGCCGATCCGGACTGGGTGAGATGGGCTGGACACACCCTGGAGCCCTCCAGCGGTCCTTCCTGGCCCCATCGTGCACCGGTGGGGTCCCTCGGCCTGGCCTGCAGGGATCGGGCAGAAACTGGCTCTGTAACATCCCCCGAGGGGTCCCGGATTGCAAGAGGGTGTAGGCCAGGCCAAGGGACCCCACCGGTGCACAAATCCATGCACCAGACCTCTAGTCTAAGTATAATGGAGCAGAAATGTAGTTTTTAATCTTAGCTCCTCCATTAATTAATTGACCTTTGTGTATGACCTTGACAAACTTATCTGGCCCATGGTCTGTGGCTTATCTATATCATCTTGTGTTTTCCACCCAATTTTCTTCTTAGTCTCTATACCAACATGGAAAAGAAGGGGTTGGCTAGGAATGTGCAGATAACAAAAGTAAACAATTTGTAAAAGTACTTTATTTTCCTCTTGTATTTGCTTTGTATCTTGCTTTTACAAAGTTATGAAGTTCACAGGTTTATACCAAAATGTAAGAAGTCTAAGCTGTTTGCTTATAAACATTTTTGCAGTCAAATGTCATCTGATTTCATTTTTCTAATCCATATTCAATATAAAAAATTCAAATACCAGGCATGCTAGAGCAGCTCTAGGGCATGTGTTTCTCTTAGGCAGAAAGAAGATCTTCAATAGCCTTTCCTCTTTGACTCCCCTCTTTCCCAATCCCATTGGGCTACTACCTTGAATTTAGAGCAAACACGGGAAATTTTAGTGCATGTGACCCAGCAGGGCCCCATACCTGGGAGTTGGAGGTGAGGTTAGGGATTAATGTCTGATAAGCAGTAGGTGTGGTTTACATCATCATTTCACATCCACTGGCATATGGGACTCAGTATAACCCAAATCGCCACCACAGCTCCTATGCCTAGTCCTTAGACAGCTCCTTTGCCATCCTGAGGGTCCTGATGATGTGGGGCAGGGACGAGATCACTATCATCAATGTGGCAGGCCTGGCCTTCACAGCAATTCTGAAAGCTCTCCTTTAGGCAACAAGAACAAAATCTGTCCGTCAGTGTATATTAATGGCAGTTATTTGAGCAAACCAGGGGGAACATGCTGTTCAAATACCACATCGCAATATACTTTGATCTCCCCTCCAATGAATCTCTTCCATAAAACACACCATACCATTCCACTAAATGTTGTACACCTACTCCCACCAAACCATCCACATACCTAGTCACTGAAGTTGTCCACTGTATAATCTACCCCCCAAGACCCCCAAAAAACAAAAACAAAGAAACCTTTGTTAAGCAAATAATCACTTAAACAGCAATGATTTTGCCTATAACTTATAGGTAGGTCAGGAGCTAAACACTCAATTGCTAACTCTTCTGAGACAGAAAAAACTTCTCCCCACAAAAGCAGGAGTGTGGTAGCAATAATGTTCTCTTCAAGTAGCATCAGATCAAAATTAATTCTTTGCTCTTAAGAGTTTTGTTTGCATTGTGTTTAACCGAGTAGAAGCGTATGCCAAAATACATTTTGAACCTGATTAAAACTTTAGGATAAAACTTGAAGTGACTGATATTATATCAGAACAAACTGCCATTAAAACACTAGCACACGCACACAAAAGGATTTATACCAGGGTCTCCTCGGCTTCTAGCCGCTAGAAGTAGGCACACATAATTAAAAAACAACGTTCTAAAAAATGGCCTCCGACTCCTGATAAGAAATGTCAGGTTCTGTCAGGTCATGTAACGGTTTCCTTTCTACATAAAGTACTAAATACCAGAGTTTATGCAAACCCCTGAGCCACAGCTCTTCTCTGAGGGCGACAGAGGGCTAGAATCAGTCAGGACATCAAAGAAGACTTAAAAATGGCCAAAATTCTGCATAACTTTCAAGACACTTTAAAGTAATAAGCATACCATAAGCAGCCAAGATGTTTATGGTGCATTTATTTCTAAACAGAACTAGAACAGTGTGTTTAGGATAACACACTAACCTGATGTTAAATTTTACACATCCTTAAAACAAAAACATTATTGCTACTGCTTCAAAGGACATTTCTACGAAATGAGGAAAAGTATTCCAAGTACAGGTGCCCATCCGTATACACGTGTACAAGGATCATTCATATACACAAAGGCAGGCAGACTGTGCACAATTCCACCAAAGTGAAACCCAAACTGGTTCTCACTGACTCTACCTGCAAAGGTTCCCCTCACTTGCCCAGCACCTGCCCTACAAAGCTCACCACTCTCGTCTTTGCAGACACGTCCTCAGGCAGGACAGAAGGACACCTGTGCACCCGTGCATGCAAGACTTTCTTAGCACACTCCCCAGCCATCTGAGAAATGCTGCTGCACTACCTAGAGAAAAATGCCAGGTTTGGCAATAAGTCCAAATTCGCTTTCCTGGGAATTTACCATTCCCAAACCCACAGAACAGCCTGGCTTCTCTGGTCACCTGTACCGGAAATGGGGGTGAGAGATGGGAAAAGCTTCATAATCTCATAGAGCAACAGCACAAATAGTCTTGATACAATAGTATTAACTCTAGTCTCTCTCAAGTGTCATGTAAACCTCAATAGTGTGGTTAACAAAAAAGTTTTCCCATTCACAAAGACAGAAGTAAATAGCTTGTGGGGCCACTCATTATCTAGCAGTATCTCCGTTAGTAGGTCTTAATCTTTTGGATCCAGTAAAAATCATTAGAGCCTTCCCTGGAAAAAAAGGACACATACTTCGTCTTGCATACAATTTCAGGGGGTTCGCACACCCTCCTGAAACCTATCCATGAATCCCCAGTGAAGTCCTCCTGCCCTACAGCCAGAGTGAAGGAGGCATGTGAGCAGATGTGTGTGCACCGACAGGAGAGGGGAGAAACCTGGATGCTCTGCAATCCTAGAACATAGTAGGGGCCGCATCCCAAAGCGTGGCTGTGTGCACCGTGCTGCTCTCCCTTCCTCCATCTCCCTGAAGAACCTTTCAAAGTGAACCCAGAAACAAAAGAATGGAAAGCAACACGTCTACAGCTTCTCTTCGGAGTCCGGAGAAAAGCCCAAACCAAGCAGTCTCACTAAGGCTTTGTTAATGTGGCTGCTCTCAATGGACAGGTGGTCTTTAACTTCACCAGATTCCACTCTTTCTTCCCAGCTAGTGCAGAGGTGAGGGCAAGACAATGATTTTAGAAATCAGTTCCTAAGAAGCCTGCTGAGGCCCTAAAAACTGAATTCAGATGCTTTATCCTGACTCCCCTATCTTGGGGCTGCAGGTGAGTGCAGCGCATTCTGTAGGTTTCAATCCCACAGCAGCTTGGCGAGCCAGAAACTGCAAAGGGAGATCAAGGCTGCACCTCCAGGTCAGACAGCCCGGCAACCCCTGCAGCAGTGATGCCCAGGTCTCACAGCACCACTGCACGTGGACAGTAGGTCTGTGTGCGGCCCTGAGCCAAGCACTCCAGCAAACCTTGCAGAGAGGGTCGCTGGGGACCACTGTCCGTAAGGACTTGCCACTGTGTGATCTGCTGTCTCAACTCCTAAAATAGTCAGCTGAGCAGTCACTCTAGCTGCTAAAAATCTACTGTCTTCCTTTACATTTAAAGCCAGCTCTGTCATCTACAAAGCAAAAGAATATTGACACACACTAAACATAATTGTTCAGAAGAAAACTATTTGCTTCCAATTTAAATACCCAGTTATTACAAGCATAAAAATTAAAACTGATCCTAAAAATCTAGCATTTGAACAAACTGGTACTTAAAGCTTGACTACAAGTTTAAACCATCATAAGAACATAAAGTAAAAATCACAAACTGAAATCAGTAAAACAACATGATTAGGGTCAAATCAGGTAACCAATTCAGATCTGCATCTTTAATAAACATCTGGAGAACACCAGTAGCATAAATTACATATGCCACGCTGTCCCAGGAGTATGGTTCCTTAAAATCTGACAAACCTCCAGCAAGATCTTAAAGTGTAACCTATCATCCCACAGAGCTGCTCAGACTTACCCTAGTGGTAAGTCTGACTGGTAATCACTTTCTCCTTCCCCGCTTCACAGGGGAAGGGAGGAGAGTGGCCAGTGTGAGGGGCCAATGTGAAATTCGTTCAACTAATGACTTCCCAACATGGGAGGCAAAAAACTTTATGAATCAACTTTACTTTCATCCTCAGCATGTCGTTCAATGTGTCCTGTAGCATCCTAGGAATAAAGGGAAAAGGGCCCATGAGAGAGAAGTTGGCAGGAAAAGACAAACTCCCACGCAAGGAGAGCTTCCTGGGTACATTCTATGATCTATATATGAAAGGCAGTTAGGACCTAGCATTCTTCATTTGAAACCTCATGCTCTCTCTCAAATCTATGAGTGATAATAAAAAGACAAAGCCCTCGGCTCTCCCTATCTATAATAAAAGCATAATATGCTAATTAGACTGGACGTCCTTCCAGACAATCTTCTGGACAAAGCTGGGGCTGTGAGGGAAGCCTGGGTCCCGGGTGCCAGAGGGAAGCCGGTGGGGGCAGCTGGAGGAAGGAAGGCCTACTCTTGCATGAATTTCGTGCATTGGGCCTCTAGTTTATTATAATTCTGAACATTCTAATGAGGCAAAAGGTTTCCAAACTCT